AATGAGAAAAAAAGTGACTTTATAAATAATTTTTCATGGGAAAATCATTAAAATCAGTCAAATCAGTCATTGTGATTAGTATGATGTAAGATTGTTTACGCGTTATACTGTGCACTAGGGAATTACGCGTATTGATCACGTTGGTTAATATTAATTAAGTACTTACTCTCACTCTTAAAGTTGAACTTAATCATAAAAATGAAAATTAAAGGTAATAGATGAACTCAACTTCAAAATAGAGTAAATATACATTTGTAACTTTTTTTTTTCAATAACACATAATAAATTTCTTTATCAAGCATTTTTTGTTAACGGGTTGTCATAATTCTAATAATAACGAAAAATATTTTCACTTAATATATTAATTGAATGAAAAACTTACCTTTTTTGTAATCTCTCGAGTTGTCAAAATTTCTTATGTGCGATTAGCTTTATATATAATGCTGGTTTTATTATTAGAATACAGTTAGTAACTTTGTCCAAAAAAATCTTATATCTAAGAGTTAGAGTATCAATTCTTTAATGTTATGAGATATAATTTACATTATTTTGGTAACGTAATTCCTCAATCCACAGATACCCAATAAATATATTATCCACTAAAATGAAAAAAATTCAAATATCAATAAACGAGAATCAAGAATTTATCAACACTTTGCAAAATGAGACGATGTTGTATACATTAATCTCGTAATTTTTCGCACGTGGTTATCTATCAATTTTATTAATCACGGTCGGTCTCTTATTAATAACTGGAAAACCAATTCAATAATCATTTTTTAAAATTTTATACTTAAGATGTTTAAAAGTTTTTTTATTATATATTATTGTATAGGGGAGGAGCAATATCACTTATTTTAGTATAGGTCAATGTATGATTGGTTTTAATTTTGCCACGTCAGTGGCAAAATTAGTAACCAATCATACATTGACCTATAAAATAAGTGATTTTGCCCCCTGTACAATAATATTATTATCGTTTGGAACTGACCATAACATTTAAAAGCTTAAAAAAGTTTATTTAAAAGTTTAATTTTTTACTGTTTATATTGAAAAAATGATTTACAAATTATGCTTTTTTCTCTTGCTGACTCTTTAGTATTTTTATAATAATGCCACCACAAAAATCTCAAAAGTAATATTTATTTGTATTCATTCAGTTAATATTTTATTTTATTTTTTTTTTGCATTTTATTAAAGATTTTTTTTTAGAATAAAAAAACTTTCACATATATGGCCCCTACTGAAGAAAAAATAAAAAGTATGCAAACAGCAGCTCGTGGCAAAGCTACACATAATTCTACAAGTACTTGGACTAATGCACTTGAAACTTTTCGTAAGTATATTGGATTACCTGGAAAAATAGATGATGTGAATTCTAAAGAAGAGTTAAAGCGTCAACTTGTTTTATTTTTTGTTTCATGTAAGCAGCAAAATGGAGCTGAATATTCAGTACAATCAATAAAATCAGCAAGATTTGCTATTGCACGACATATCAACACATATTCTAAAATTCGTCCACAAGAAATTACAAATAAAAATATATATTCTGAATTATATAACGCAATTACTGGCAAGATCAAACTTTTAACTGATTAGGGATTAGGTGAAATACATGGTGCAGATGCTTTTACTCAAGATGAGATTAGGAAAATTATTAATCATCCCACAATGCAACCAGATTTACCAAAAGGACTTATACGACACATATTTTGGCATAATACTTTTGAATTAGCTCTTCGAGGTGGAGAGCATTATAATCTAAAGATACAACAATTTAAAAAAAGAAAGGATGGTGGTATTGACGTTACATTTTATAGATCTAAGTGTAATTAGAGATCTTTAAGTGAATCTAATTCTAAAGCTGAAGTAATTTCAATACCTGCTGATAATGCTGTTATTCAAGATTATGAGCTTTATTTTAGTAAAAGACCACCAATTTGTGAAGATGCATTTTACTTGCAACCTTGCAACAATAATGAAGGTAATTATTTATTATGTAGTAATTTATTATTTTTTTTTACCTTTCTTTTAATTTCAAATAGTTGAGTTTACGGGTTATTGGTTCAAATCTGCTCAAATGGGAGAAAAATTGGTAAAAGGACTTATGAAAGAAATTGCAACAATAACTGAAATCGATTGTGATAAAAGAAAGTTCACAAATCATAGTGGACGAAAAACCTTTATTCAAATTTCAAAAAGTGAAGGAATTAGTGATAATGATGTGATGTCTGTGTCACGGCATAAAAATCCTCACTCTTTGGCTTATTATAGACGTCCTAAGTCTATATTGCAACAAAATACATTATCGCAAATTAATTCTTTAATTTATAATGGTAAGAAAAGAATTGCACCTGTGGTTTTAATGTAAAAGTAATATACAATATATTTATTATTTTTCTTTTCATTAGATACATTATTGTCAAATGACAAAAACTGCAAATTCTTTTTCTTCAGCCTTAGAAATTTTCAATGGTAAGATTTAAATTATGAACTAATAATTCTTATGGTATAAAAAATTTTATTTTTTTTTTAGAATCACGGTCACCACTTCAGCAGCTCAACTCAAATGATTTAAACGAATTAAATGATGATCAACAAAATCAAGAAATTAACGGAAATGATGAGACCATTAAAAAAATTCTCCATGGGAATGTTTTTCAGAATTGTAATATTACATTTAATGTGAATAAATGATTTTTATACGAATTTTATTATATGTACACTTATAAATAGCTTATTTTAATAATATAAAGTATAAATAGTTTATATAAAGTATAAATGGTTTATTATGATATTATAAAGTATAAATAAAATATCTAAAAATATAGTATGTTATGATCATATGTACCTGAACGATAATTGCTTTTATTGCAACTTTTATCTTAAAAGCACTAATTACAAATATAATGATTATTATATAATAAAGTAATTCATTAAGGAAAATAAGAACAGAGTTTCCAATAGCATATCTAACATTATGAAAATTTAATATGTATTATAAATTTTATAACCAAAAGGATAACATTACTAGCCCTATTCCGCACGTTATCTAACTGTTTCCTTTATAGCTAAGTTTATCATTTTGTAGCAAAATCGCATAAATTTTTACCAAATATTCTTTAAGATTAAATCTTTTTTATTCAAGTATTTATAATATCACTTGAAATTTTTTCCCATAAGACTATAAGGTTAGATTTTATTGTAACAAGTATTAGACGTATTAGACATCAATATTGTACAAATCTAGAAATGTTGAGCGAAATACTTAAACATCGTCAATTAGCTAAATTTTGGCAGTATTTCTTCATAAATTAGTTTGCGTCCCTTTTTTTTGTCTTATAAATAAAAATATCTCAGAAGCCTTAAATTATATATGTATATATATATATATACAGTACTTATATCTGCTACTATATTCTTTAAAAAAAATTAAGTAAAAAAGCTTTTATTTATGTTTTAATGGCGTTAAAACAGCAAAAATTAGTACCGCAAATTTTCCATTTTTTCCATTTTTTTATTTGGAATTTTCCAACTTTTTGATTTTTCAAGCTAAATAACTTCGCAAAAATCAAATTTGAAGCTTTAAAATATACTGCATCGCCCTAAATTACATATTCTGAATATAATACAAAGTGTTTATTTTTAGATTATTAAGTTTAAAATGGGGTTTCAATTAGCGTATTAGCAATTAAATAATAAAACAAATGATGATTGGCAAATTAGTAATCTATAATTAAGATATCCTACCAGATATTACTGTATCACCCATAAAATGAATTAATTAGTTTTAGTCTAATATAAATTATATAGTTAAATAGGTCAGTTTCGGATTGTAGATCTGACGACATTATATCTGGTAAAGTTTGATCTTCCCGCCCTTTTTTCTTTTCTTTTTTTGTTCAAGCTATGCTTTATTGTATATTATATTAAACCATCATGAAATGATCGATTTGGAAGAATTATAAAAAAAAAAAAGAAATAGTATTGTTTTAAAAAACATACTAATTTGATACTATATATGATAGTAGCAAGATACAGTATAATCAGATTACAAAATATCAAGGTTCATCAAATATAAGGCATGATTTGAAATACAAATCTTAAGATATCATAAATATAAGATAACTCTTAATTTGTTGTCTAATTAAAAATTTTTTCTAATCATACATAATTAAAGTTTTGTCTTAACGAATAATATAATTACAATAATATTTTGTAACCGATAAATTTTCATCTTCATAAATAGTCAATAGATATAAAATCTGTAATATTAAATATTATTATTCAAAAATTTTTGTAATTAAATAAATTTAGAGTCAAAATCTCAAAAATTGATATATGGTTTTGGATACAACATATAATTCTTTTAAACTTCAGTTAAGTTTCGCAAATAATTAAAAGATTTATGATATCTGCTGAACATGTCAATAGCTAGAAAATCAGTTTCAGCAAATGTGTTCGGTTACAATGGTATGAGATGAAATAGACAAATGATTCGAATGATCAATTCTCAAGTACCAAATGTGATATTAATTATGGCTTTTTTATTTAAAATCATATGGTAAGTTATCAACCAATCAAAATGAAATGATTATGAAATTAAGCAAATCCTTTAAATGGTTAAATGACTAAACACTGTAGAAAATAACTAGAAATATCAGAATAATCATAGATAAAATCAGTATTGTATTGTATAATTGTCTCAAGAATGGGTTTTTTTTTAATATTATACCCGTCATGTGAATCACTAAAAATTTCTGATTATCAATGGAGAATTATGGAATCAAGAATAATACTTTTTTTTCCCCTGATTATCAATGGAGAATTACGGAATCAAGAATAATTCTTTTTTTTTCCTGATTATCAATGGAGAATTACGGAATCAAGAATAATTCTTTTTTTTTTCTGATTATCAATGGAGAATTACGGAATTATGAATCACAGTATACAGTACATGCCAATGCAAATCTCCCTCTCCTCTTCATTCTTCCTCTAAAATGTCTTTACCTATTTTAAATTCAGATATTATTCTTGAGATTATCAAGAATTCAAAAGATAATACGGGTAGTTTATTTAACTTTCTTTTTGTAAATAAATATTTCAGTAAAGTAGCTGTATCAGTTCTCTGGGAAAATCCATTTAAATATCGTAATTTATTAAGTAGGGACAGTCAAAATTATTCGATCATACAAACTTATATTAACTTTTTTAATGAAGAGGAATGTAATGAAATCAACCAAATCTTTAAAAATATTAATGAAGTCTTTAAATTTAATAATGAACAAGAAAAATCACTTCGTTTTCATTATGGAAAATATTTAAAAGAATTTAATTTTCAAGTTACAAGGAAAGCAATAGATTCATGGTATAGTATTTTTAAAGAAAAGAATAATATAAAAAATGGTAGTTCACGTTATAATATTGAAGAATGTATCATGAAATCAATTATGAGACAATGTCAAAAATTAGATTCCTTGAATTGGGGGATATGTTTAGTGAATGAAGGTTTATTAAAAATTATGCAAGATAAAATTAAGGATTTGAAATATTTTACAATAGATCATTATTATAGTATTAACTATGAAAAAAGTATTTTTGGTTATTTAAAAAATCACTGTAAAAATATTTCATGTTTAACAATAGATGATTATCATGATATATGTGGTGATAAACTTACAGAAGAATTTATTTCTTTTATTGAATTACAAAATGGTCTAAATGAATTCATCCTTGATCATGCGGAAGAAGAATATGAGTATAAAGATCTTATCACAAGCACATTAGAATTTCAAGCTAATAATTTAACTAAAGTGATATTAAATGGAGTGGATTTTAGCGATATATCATTTGATTATATTGACAAGTGTATTAATTTAAAAGTATTAGGATTAAGATATAACAAAGGGTTAATATTTGATGATATGGATTTATATACTTCATTTAAAAATCTTAAAATATTGGATTTAAGTTATAATGAATGGTCATCTGAAGTAACTACTTTGATTATTAAGAAAGCAGGAAAGAGTTTAACTTCTTTGACAATTGGAGAAAATAATATTAAACAAGCAATTAATGATGATACTTTAATTGCTTTGACAAATTCTTGCCCAAATATTCGTTCATTATCAATTTCCAAAACTTCTAGTGAAAGCATTAAAATGGTTCTATCATATCTTAAAGATTTGAAATTAGTTACTTTACAATTATTTCAAATTGAAAAAAAAGGTACAGTTATGAAATCTGAAGATCTGTTGAATTACATAGAAAATGAAAAATCTCTATTTAAATTGGGATTAGGTAAAAATGACAAGTATTGGGATTATTATAATGAAAGACGTAGAAATTTTGAAAAATTTTTGAAAAAGCATAATGTTAAGTTGATCGCATATAAACCAAAAAATAACAACGTATTATGAAGTTATGGATTGTTACATTTACTATTTCATATTATATGAGAATAATTTGTTAGTCAATGATTTAACTATACAGTACTTTTTAATTGTTGAAATAAATAAAATCTATATTTGAAATAAAGCGTATTACTATTTGTAGTTTGCAATGTAAGATACAAAGTAAAGAAATAAATTAAGCTATGATATATATAAAATTTAAAAATCTATTAATAGTTTTATTTCATACATGAATAATTACAACATTTTCATACAAGTATAATATCAATATTAACTTACCATAATATAAATTTTATTCGTGTTATCAAAGATTTGTTTGTTAATTCCAATGTTTTTACAGAAATTTAACTATTAAGTTTGGTAATTTAGTAAAATACAATTTAACGAAATATTAGTTATCCTGTAATTGAAACAGATTTTAATCCAATTAAAAAATTTTGTCAATAAGTCAATAAGATAAATTGTAATCCATGCAGATTAATGTATTATCGGTTCTAACTGTAAAATCTTATTTAGGAAATTGAACTATTTAAAGACAACTTTGCAATTTTCTTTGTTCAAAGTTGAACTTAATGTGTTTGTAATTAAATATATGGTAATCTTAAATTGGAATGGTTATACTATTTTAAGATAATTTTTTGATTTCTAACGAACAATCTTTTATCCTTTAATTTAAAAATATTATTCAACCATTCTATAATTTAAGATAAAATCTATTGGTAATTCTGTCAATACTTAACTCAATTTTATTATTAAAAAACAAGTAAACGTTTAACAGAACAGTGAGTTTCTGACTAATAATCAGAAAAAATGTGTATTTATATACTAATTGCAATCAAAATACATTATTTTTGAATAAAATCATTTATTAATTCTATTACTAATTAAAAAAATATATGGTATAAAAAAAGATAACAAATAAGTTCATTGATTTTATTTGAATCACATCAGTGAGTGGTATACTACTCTGTAATATAAATTATATTATAGAGTGCTATACTACTTGCAATAGCTTATAATACCACTCTATAATCTGAGTACCACTTTATAATCTGACACTTTATAATCTGAATATCCACTTTATAGTCCGAATACCACTTTATAATCTGAGTACCATTCTATTACCACTCTATAATCTAATTCTGTAATCTAAATACCACTCTATAATCTACCTACATTCTTTCATCGGTTATCGTTTGTATTCTAATTATTTCTTTAGGTCTTTATAACTTGTTTCTTGTTTCTACTTTGTTTACAAGTCAAATTATATGTTGTGATTGTTAACCTTCTATACCTGTTTGGCTTATATTGAGGGTGTAGACCTCCCGACCTCCCGTGCCTGCTTGGTTGCCTTTCAAAGTACCAAGATGGTGTAAAAAAAAGGTGTCAGGTGGCACAGTAAATTTGTGCTGGCACTATGCTATAATTCTAGCCAATCTTTTGGGCACATAATTGCGCCCATTCATTTGTTAAAACAATCTTTTGAAATAAAGATCAACTATAAAATATCAATCACCTGATTGATAGCTATAAAAATTTCTTTTATTTTATATTCGGAAAATTAAAATTTCCATCAAATTATTTAATAATATTTCTTGTAGTTTTACTAAAAAATTTGTTTTTACTGATAATTGTATATTTAATAATTCAAATAAATTTATTATACAATTATTTAAATTACAAACTAAGAAAATTGTAAAAAATTTTACTGCTCTAGTCTTAGTGTTTAAATAATTTAAAATAAATCATAAATAATAAATGATAGAAATTTAAAATATAAAAAAATTGTTAATTTATAAAAAGATAAATTAAAATCCATCTAAGGAATAAATAAATAACAGATAATAGTAACAGGTTAGTAAATAAAATAAATAAAATAGTAAAAATAAAGAATAATAAATTAATTAAGAACTTACCATCAGGAATTTCAAATTCATCTTGTTCATTTGAATGAAGATTTGGATTATTATGTATATCATCATCATCTATAAAAAAATAAATAAATAGAATTAAAAATGGTATTAATGTTAACTATTATTATGTAAGATTTCGCTTACCATCAATATTAATATTTTGCTTTTTTGTTTGTTGTTGTTGAGTTATTTCTTTTTCATCATCTATATTTTTAAATAAATGGCGTGTTTTAATAAATGAAATTAATATAATAGCGACTTAATTTGTTTGTAATTCACTTACTATTTGAATTCATTTGCAACTTTTTAAATACTTTAGATAATCTTTTACTGCTACCTAAATTTGATATTAAATTCAATTTCAATTTATTATTTCTAACATATAATTCAAATAAATATTACCTTTAAAAATATCAATTATTTTCGATGATTTGCCACTATTCTGCTTATTTGACCCGTTAAAATCATTAACTGAAAACAAATATTAATTTATAAACATTGTTATGAAAAAAATTCAATAATGTAGTGTTAAATACTTACTATCATCAGGAATGTTAAAATCATATGATTTACTATGAAATGCTATTATAAAAATAAATTATTTCAATATTAAATTGTTGATAATTAAAAAAATAACAAGAAATTATTAATACCTTCTTGTTCTTCTATTATAATTAATTTTAATTAAGAAATAATAATGTTAATTTAATTTAAAATAAACAAAAAAGATTAATAAAATATTATACACTTATACCTTCTGTTGCATTTTTTGGTTCGGGTAGATTTTCAGCAAATTGATGAATTTTACTTGTAAATAATCTGCTACTCGCATAATTTCCTTTTACTTTATTCATTTCTAAATTATCTATTTCTGGTTGAAATGATTTATCTGACATATTTTGATAATCTAAAATAAGTCTTTTCATTTTGGTCGCAAGTGCGTCAGCATCAAGTCTCTTTAATGGATCAGCATCCCAACATTGTATCATTAAATTTTTATATTCTAATGGAGTTCCTGTCACAATTTTTGGCCTTATACCATTAATAATGTTCATTGCAAGGTCATAATCATGTTCATAATTTATGAATGGTGGTTGTCCAGATGAGATTTCCCACATAAGCATTGCAATACTATAAATATCAGATGCAAAAGTACATTCTCTTCCAACAATAATTTCAGGTGCTATGTAAGGAAGATTCCCATATATACTTTTTGATGATTTATCTGCAGGTCCACAAAATCCAAGATCACTAATATGCCAAGAATCATTAAATTGTGAATATAATATATTTCCAGAATGCAAATCTCTATGAATTGCATTTTCACAATAAATATAATAAAGTGAAAGAATTATCTCATAAGCAATCCCAATTCTTTCTTTCCATGTGAGTTGATTATGATTTTGTTGTAAATATTTTCTTAAATCTATATCCATTTTCATCATTACAAGCATATAATTTCCATTTGATATATCTTGTGTCAATCCATAACATTGAACAATATCTGGCCATTTATTACTTATGGTTAAATGTGATTTAGCCTAAATGAAAACATGCTATTGTTAATAGAAGAAATATAAATTTTTAAATAAATTTCAAATAAAATTATACAAACCTCTTCAAACCAACCTTGATTTGCACTTTTAACATTTTCTAACCTTTTAAGTATTACATTTTCATCTCCAAATCTTATTAATTGTTGTCTCTTAGAATCCCATTCATCATAACTTCCATTAATCCAGTCTGCTGTATAGATTTCAGATAATCCACCTTTTGTTAAATATTTAATATTTTTTAAATTACTATATGGGATCCATTCAACTATCACATTTGGTCTAATTGTTTCCAATTGACAATTCTGTATTAAATCATCAATACCATCATTTCCAGACGTCCAATTTGAGAAATTTTCTTTTAAATAATTTCGAACACAATATTCACAATATAATGTAGCTAAACATTCTTGGTTACAATTTTCACAAATTCTTCTTGTACCATCATTAAGCATAACTTTATCTCGATCATAATTTTTAGTTAATGACCTTATTGCAAAAGTTTTTTCTTCACTTGTAAGAATTTTATCAGCAAGAAGTATTTGTTGTTGGAACACAAATCGCATATGTATATCATTATGAATATTAGTATCTGTTAACATTACTATTCTATTCTTTGTTGCATAAATTAAATCATATCGAAGAGTGGACATAATGTAATTAATAAATTAAAAGGAAAGAAAGAATTGTGTTTCAAGTTTGTTACTCCGAGATAAATTAGTAAATGCAAGTTGTTGATCAAACTTGTACCACTCTTGTACCACCATGTGAATTTAAATTCTGAGATCTTAAGGCGCGGCAGTACCGACTGTTACGCAGTAAAATGTTGCGCAGCAATCATGTGATATAACTGGACCCGTGATGCCGATCAATGTAGCAAATGTCGAATATGTTTGACATGTTCGATATGTCGCATATGTCCGATATGTAGAATATATAGAATATATGGAACATGTAGCATATATGAGATATATAGAACATGTAGCATATATGGGATATATAGAACATGTAGTATATATGGAATATATAGAAC